GTTTTTTTTACGATAGAAAACAAATTGCGGAAAAAAATCCCTAAGCGGAAAGATGGCGCTTGCTGCTTGATGTCAATAGTAACGACCCGTATGTTTCAGCAGGTGCGGTGCTATCAGGCAGGAGAGTGATCTCCTCCGGGTTGTTGTGAGAATCTCGTTTAATGGAGGGGGAGCGCAGCTTGAAAAACAACGAAGTGGCCGTCAACGAGCTTCTTAGTCGTGGGGGAATCTGCGCCATTGGGGGACGTCGCAACTGCAAGATTTTGCGGATGCCATTTGGGACGTTTGTGCTCCCGAAAGTAACGCAAGAGCCAAGCAAGAATAGTAAAAGATAATGCGACAAGAGAATACTGCATGGCAATGAAGAAAAGCTGAAAACGAAAAATGTGGAAAAGCCATAAACTTGTGGACTTAAAACCCAACAATCCTCGATCAGCAGCCTTGACAAAGCTTGCTGTTGTGACGTTGGAATTAGATTGACTCTTTCACCTACTGAAGAAATCTTCCAATCTGAAGTTCTTCCTACGACTGCATAGTTGAGAAGACTAGAGGGGATACCAAACATGCTGTACGTGACGACACGACCTGCAATATGGGACATAGATGTTTATGATATTAATAGAAGATATCACTCCTCTCTCTTTACATATATATATTCTATTTCACTCTTTCTCTCTCTCTCTCTTTCTTTCTCTACCTTTTTCAGGTACGATTTGAGCTCTTAAATTTGCAAAGGCTGAATAATGACAACCAATACAAAATTCAAGAGCGATACAACAAACAAGCGACATTGTCAACGAAGAAGATCTAGAAAGAAGTCTGACAAGAACAGACACAATAATAAGAAGCACGAATCACTTCTTTCGAGACAAGAATCATCAAATGCGCCAATGACAAGAATAGATAATCCAATGACAAGAATAGATAATCCAATGACAAGAATAGATAATCCAATGACAAGAATAGATAATCCAATGACAAGAATAGATAATCCAATGACAAGAATAGATAATCCAATGACAAGAATAGATAATCCAATGACAAGAATAGATAATCCAATGACAAGAATAGATAATCCAATGACAAGAATAGATAATCCAATGACAAGAATAGATAATCCAATGACAAGAATAGATAATCCAATGACAAGAATAGATAATCCAATGACAAGAATAGATAATCCAATGACAAGAATAGATAATCCAATGACAAGAATAGATAATCCAAGACAAAATAGAAACAGTCATAAAAAGCGCCAATAATCAATCAACTTACAAAAATGAAATAACAGCGATAACCTGGTAGAGAACAACGCAAAGCCGTAGAGGTATTCCATCCACAAAAATACTCTTTATATTCAAATGAAAGTTTCTTGAACATGAACTCAGTCCAGATTCCTGTATCACTTTTGTTTCAGAAGCTAAATTCCATTCCCCTCCATCAGATTGTGGTGGGGAGCGTGGATGAGGCCCTTCTGCCTCGCTACTCATGCCAGGCTGGATTGGCTCTACATTTTCCCGAGATGGCAGAGAATCCATCGAATCATCTGTTTTAGTAATCATCGAAACTGTATACGATCCCGTCGCGCACGCGAGCATAAACCCAGAGAAAGATTGCATCAGGCTCGAGAGGTCGTATAGAAGGTGTCCAAAAACAGACAAACACCCAGATGCTTGATTCCATCATTGCATAAGCAATCCCGACGGCAAAAATCTGACGGATACGTCTCAGAATGGACATCATCAAGGCAATTATTTGTACCTGAAATCTTGTTAGTGTTTGCGCTACTGAAGAGACAAAACAAGCCCAAGAGCCGCATCCCAGGCTCGGGTCTAATTCTTCTGGTCGGGATACTAAACCGGGAGAACTACTTCCACTATTTTCCTCCCACAGAAAAAACATTAAACCCACATTGATGACTGCAAGAGCTGAGGCTATTGAGAAGATGATTGTAAGACCGGATCCAGGACGAATCCAATCACTGCTTTGACGAATCCATGCGGCTGACTGACAGACGAGAATCGATGCTATAGAAGTTGTTACAGTTGCCCTTGAGTAAGTATCTTGCAGAAGAGCATCTGGGAATCCTGATAGAAGAGTGACGCCATAGGATGACACGAGAATTGATTGAAATTTATTAGAATTGAAGAATTGAAGAAGCTTCAATCGCGGGAGGTCCAAAATTTTGGGCCTCCAAACGAATCAAAGCTCTCTTATCGCACTCACCTAGAATTCGGTGCTGATCAGTCATCCACGATTCAGGGACAGAATAAAGAAGTGAGACAGCAATTCCATAAAAAATCTGCGATGCTACAAACGCTGCTGGATATGAAAAAAATGCTACAAGCAAATAACGGCTTGCATAGGCAAGCATGCATGCTGCAACGCCAAGACGCCTGCCCAACATATCAATGAGCGGGGAGGTGATGCAATTCGAAATAGCCGTTGTGAGAAAGGAAATTTGCATGAGTTCCCGTATTCGTTGATCCTCCATATGATGGTAATCAGAATACATGTAAAAGATGTAGGGTGCCCCAAACATCTCTACCGCGAAGGCGATGGAAAAAACAATAATATAGCGTTGCTGAAATCGATTGAAACGTTCCAAAAAGCGACACCTCTTCCATAGAAGCGCTTCTTTGTGTCGCTTTCTGACGCGATAATTCATCTCGTTGAGCTGCTGTGAGTTTTGGCCTTTTAAAAATCCATTTAAACACATGGTGAACGATAACTAGAATGATGAACGTTCCTGATCAAAAAAATGAGTCGAAATAAATCACTCTCGAGACAACTCGTGCATACCAGCCAAATGATATTGGTCAAAACTTCTGTAGATGTCCAAAATTCTGTTGTTGCAAATCTTAATGATTGGGGCGCCAGAGTCGGAATCTCGGATTGAAGAGATTCAATGCTACTCACCGAAACTTCTCTATCCGGGGCCTCAACCATTTAGTCCCTCTTCTTTTTTTAAACTGCACCAGGCGCATGTCAGTTTGATGGAACGCCTTGGGCTTAACGGTGCGTTAAGCAAAACGTGCAAGAATCTTAAGATTCATGAGCCAACAGAGATTCAAGAAAAGACAATTCCGCCAATTTTGAAGGGCCTCGATTTGATTGGGGTCGCTCAAACAGGATCAGGGAAGACGGCTTGCTACTGCTTGCCCTCATTGCAAAAACTGGCCGCTGACCCTTATGGCGTTTTTGGAATTGTTTTACTTCCTACGAAAGAACTCGCTGCGCAGGTGTTTGAGCAGTTTGCTGTCTTCTCGACGTCCCTAGGATTTCGTGATAAGATTGCTTTAGTCGTTGGAGGAGATCCATGGCTTGTTCAAACCAGAAAGATAGCTGATCGGCCTTATATCGTTGTTGCTACTCCCTGGACGTCTTCTAGGACTCTTGGAACATCCAGACACACTCCAGAGTTTTTCAAATCTCTCTGTTATCATTTTAGACGAGGCAGATCGATTGCTCACAGGAACACTCCAAGCTGAAGTAGTGCAGGTGCGTTAGCGACAAAAACTCTCTCAACTATTTTTGTGTTCCAGATTTTGAACATTTTGCCTTCAAAAAGCACAATACGGCGGCAGCATCTCCTTTTTACCGCAACATTTACTCCAATTTTAGACAAATTCAAAAATTATCTTGCTAGATACCGCTCTTCATGTCTTTCCCAATCCCCTCCACCCTCTTTGGAATTAAATCAAGACGATCAACACATTCCTCCATTCCATCAGCAGAATGCACTCCTCTCGTCGTAAATGTCAATCCTTCTGAATCACCAGTTGAAAATCTCCAACAATTTTACATTTTTATCCCAATCCATGTTAAAATGGTTTACCTTGTCCATCTTTTATCAACAGTTTTCAAGGGACAATCGGGAATGATTTTTACCAAGACATGCCAGTAAGTCAGGGGTATTTGTTTGTTTTCTATTTGCATATTAATTTCTTCAGGACGTGCCAGGTGGTAACAACTTCTTTAGAGCTTCTAGAGTTCTCTACCACAACGTTACATTCTCTTTTGGACCAGAAACGCCGAATCGCACATTTAGGTGGGAGTCTGCGGTAGCAATATTCATGCTCTTCGATATATAACAGTAAATATCATACAGAGCGTTTGGTGTTCTTCAGCTAAGTATCGGGGGGCTCGATGCCAGCTGCTCGTAACAACAGATGTCGGTAGCCGTGGGCTTGATATTCCAAAAGTCGACTTTATCATCAATTTCGACTTTCCCACATCTTTCGAAGATTACGTTCATCGCGTTGGGCGAACTGCTCGTGTTGGGAGGCAGGGAGTTGCATTGTCGATTATTTGCGATAAGGATAAAATTGAACATGTGAGCATCATGGATTATAGGGGCGACTCATCGAAACATCTAGTAGCTGGTTCCCTCCAAAGTAACATTTTAAGACATCTCTGTTTGCAGGTGCATGAGGTTCGAAGAAAGAACTGGAGTGAAGTTGCAGCTATTTGATGTGAATGAAGATGATGTCTTGAAGCGACTCACCGAAGTGACAAAAAAGAAGAACGAAGCCCGAATGGTATGCGATGTGATGATTTGTTGCAAGATCAATAGAAAAACAGATCAATGCCGACTTCCCCTTATAAACTACTTGACCCTTATAAACTACTTGAGTCGAGTGACCAGTCGGGGCATTTGGAGTATCCAACCACCCTTTGTCTTCATCATCATTATATTTTTATTTGATGCTTGATGAGCTGAATCTATCATTGGACATGAAACTCTCTTGTGACGATGTGAAAATATAATAAATACGTTTCTATTACAACACTCTTGACGTCGTTTTATTTTTGTTCAGATTCTGTTAGAAAACGGATTCTTTGATTTGGCGGAGAAGACAAAGACGGAAAAAATGAAAAAGAGGAAAAAGGGTATTCAACCGTCAATCAATGAAAAAAGACAAAAGATTTGAATTACCTGTTTTATGTTTTCTAATTGTTTTTGCGTGCCATCTTTCTGACACATCAAGGAGAAGGGGAGGCTCTCTATCTCACACCCACACATCAAATGTCTAAGCTACCGCCGCGTATCGGGCCGCGATTCGACCCTGGAAGGGTTGCGTGGAAGTATGTTGATTACTGGCGGTGGTCTGTTCTCAGAGATAAAGCAAAAAGAGGGGCCTTGCGAATGGTCATCCTAGGAGGAACAATAACGATCATGTTTTTCTGTAAGGAGGTGTTTTTAAATAGTTATATATTCTGCTTCGTCAGCCTCGACACTCGTTTATGGTTGGAGTGAGACGATGCATCGTGGATGGATTCATTATGCATCAAAAGAGGTAAATAAGGAAAATGTGTCCCATGTCCCAAATTTGACGAGTCCCACGTCCCAAACGTGATACATCCCATGTCCCAAATGTGACATTTGTCAGAGGGAGCGAAAGTATTTGATTCGAATTATCAAAGATGCACGAGAGCGAGGCGATTTGCCTCCAACCATTGTGAAGGACTTTGAAGAATAACAGAGAGAAAAAAGAAACGAACTCCCACTTTAGAAAGATAAACAACCTGATGATCTCCCCAACATACATAAAAATTTCATATTCTCAATTTTTTTGTTTCTTCACTAGTCGTTTCTTCAACGTTGGAATTTCCAATCTTTGTCCATGTAAACATGTATTCAATGGGACTCTGATCATCACGCTTGGCGAGATCATCCAATTTCTCATTTACGCGTGATTTTGCGGCAGTGGGAGTCCCCAATCCATAGACCCAATATTGCTTTCCGGGTTGGTCGACTTCCGTTTCAGACAAGGGAGGAGCTGGTAGTTCCTCCTCAGGCTGTCCCCCAGCTGATTGCCGAACGCTTTGGAAATCTTCAGACAAAATTCGTCCTGATAAAAGTCGGTTTGCTATTTCTTGATCTGTCTCATTCTCCACTAAGACTCGCGATCCATTCGTTGCTCCTCCATCAAACACAAATGCAACATCGGGGCTTTTTGTTTGTTTTCCAATATTAATAATTTGTCCAGGTGCGTTGTAACATTCCGGACAAATGAAGAGGAAATAGAGAAGTGGAGCCCCACAATGCAATCAGTCCAACAAAACTTCCAACCCGCACAATCCATGCGGCCCGTGATTTCCAATCAAATGCATCACTGACATCGTGCATGTCGGTGGATCGAATTCCGGACCGTCGAGTGATTCGACGATTCGGCGGCTCTACAACAGACAAATATAGAATCACGAACAGGTCAACAGCTCATAATCAATTAAAATATGCTGATGGAGATCATCGAACAATCGATTCACTCGAATGCAAATCTCTTCCTTCTTCCCAACCATTGAATGATCACCAATGGCATGCTTTAATATATTGTGATGGTATATTGTGAACCATCCCAGCAATTGCCGATGAACTTACTTTTGTCCCTTCCCCCATAAATTAAAGCATGCCACATTCCTTTAACGACACCTTGTTCTTCACTCGAGATCTTGGGATCCAATTTCACTGGTTGAAACTCAACCGTCTGCTTTGTTCGCGATATACTGTGCCCTCGCCTCAAAGCCGAAGGAGGCAACTGAGAGAGAAACGGGGATCCACTCCAAAATAGCCAGATCAGAAAATTCATCCAAAATATCAGAAAATTCATTCAAATCTTCATTCTGAGTCACTGACCTCAAGTTCTGACTGTTCGGTCCCTCCATTCAAACTCGTGGCTTTCTGATTTGCTGCTTTTTTCCACCGTTCATGACGCGTTAGGCTTGCAGCAGCCATGGGATGTCTGCCTTGCTCATGCAAACTCGGTGTGGTCATCTCGAGCTCAGAATACGATCGCCGGAGTCGCATTGAATCCTCAAGCGGTGGGGAGGTTGCAATCGCTTCAGAGCTCGCGTCTTTCGTTCCATTTTTAGAATCCTTCTCCAGATTCTCAATTGAGTTCGAGATGAACGCGTTCTCATTCAACTTGGAGGAGCTTGAAACTGCTTCAGCGGGTTTTTTCTCGTAATTCTCCGTTCTGCTTGATAAGGCTCCAAGTTCGCCACAGTCGACTCGAACTGAACCACTTCTCGCCCGTTTATGCAGTCGTCTCCATCGATCTGAACTGAGAGCTGCTTCATCATCTAAATTGGACTCTGCTTTTGCAATCAGTTCTCTGGATTCCTTTCTTAGCTGTCTTGCCATATGCGCCGTTAGTGCTGAAGCCTTTCGCTTTGATGTCGATTTCGGTGGAGTTCTTCCTATTTGGATGCTTGTAATTGTCATGAATCCAGCGAAGATTCCACCCACAGCGCCACCCATATGAGCGTAGTTATCGACATACGGCATGAACCCACACGCCAATCCGACTACCTGTAAAAAAAATAGGGAGCAGAGGGTGTTATAGATGTGTGCTGACACGGGTACTGCTGACACAACCAGACAACATCATTCAGTACAGATGTCTATAGAAGAGAAGAACGGAGGATCATGTTTATTTTTCTAAAGGAAGGTAGCTCTAAAGAGTAATCTTTATTGATATTCTCAGAAACCCACAAGGGATCCTAAGACGACGTAGAGGATACAACGAGGTTGCGGAATTGTATGCCAATATTCTAACGAAGAAGAAAGGACGAATAGCGAGTAGTAGTAGTGCTGTCCTTGGAATTTATATTCGAAATCAAAATAAATCATTTTGATCCGAATTTTTATTTCTTACCGACAATGTACGGAACGCAGCCTCCCATAATACCGAAAATTCCCCCGCTGGCCCCAACGGAAACATTATAGGGATCCAAAGTCGCAGAGAGGAGATTTCCAGAAATTGCGCTGATCATGAACACGAACGCCTGAAACAAGGCACGATCATGAAGAGTATTAGATGGCGAGATCGATTCACTCCGAGATGACTAACAAGGATGAAAACGAGATGGATTAAATCCCGTATGTCTATAAGTATGTTGAATTTTACTCTTGACACCTTCATACCGTTCGTAGAAATCCCCAGTCAGGCTCGACGATATCGCCAAGCTTGTACCACAATATGAAATTCATCACTATATGGAACCATCCAGCATGTAGGAAGGGACTCCATAACAGGCGCCACCATTCTCCGGATCGAATAAGAGGAGTTCTTAACGCGCCCATTTGTATCAAAGCTTCTACATGTGGACCCAGCATTGGATTCAAATTAAACGTTGTGATGCCCCCTTCCTACAATACAACTAAAAAAGGGTCTCAGGGAAATGGCACAAGTTTGTTTTTCGACGTGGAATTTGTTGGAGCACCAAAACAAATCGAAATTTTTCAAGTTGTGCTTTGAGTAGAAGACGTGTTGCGCCAAATTGCCTATTCTATATCAATAAGAGTGAATGTAGGGTTACCTCGCTATCATGAGGAAGAAGCATCCCCACATTAATCCGTAGGTGCAAATCAGCTTCCCTCTCAGAGGGATTTCGCGGCACGCTGGATCGGAGTTCATCTGGGGCTCCCATAGTCTCAGATAGGCAAGTTGTTTCGCAATAAGACGCTCAACGCGTTGCTGCTGTGAGTCTGGTATGTTGTCAGAGCAATCGTGCTCGCCGTTCCCTTCTGTGTGCGATGGACACATGTCGACTGATCAATACGGTGTCGTTGGAAGAGTGAAGTGGAAGTATGTTTCAGAGCGTTAAGTGTGATTTCGATGGATATAAGATTGTTCTACGTTGTGAACTCGTGCAGCTACGAATTGGAGGCGAATGGAGATCAGTTGAAGCTTCAATTACAAAATAATCACCAAAAATAGTTTTTTTGCACAAACACTCGGAAATTCAGCGGATGTCTCTTTTTTTGAAAAAGTGTGGACCCAATTATTCTGTGACTGAAATTGCGCCGCTTGCAAAACGATGAAAGATTTCTGAAGTGTTGTACTTTGTTGTTTCCTGAATTCATCAATGGCGCCGCCTATTCTAATCGGAGGCCTTCATGTAGACAGACGCCTTCACGACTTCATTGAAAAGGAAGTCTTGACTCCCCCCGACGGTGTGGAGTCGTTAGGAATCGATAGTCAACGGTTCTGGAACGGCTTTGAGAATGCCATCCGTAGACTGCAACCAGTTTGTGAATCATTGCTACAGAAGAGAGAATTCCTTCAAAGACGGATCGATCATTATCACCGCACAAAACGTACGTGTGCCATGCAGATATGGGGTGTGTTCTCGTTTTTCTAAGAGTCGCTTCCGATCATTCTAGGAAACGAAGCGTTCGATCCTCTTGACTATAAAGAGTTCCTCTACAAAATTGGCTACCTCGTTGATCAGGGAGAAGATTTTCAAGTTCAAGTTCAAGATGTTGATCCTGAAATTGCCACGATGGCAGGTCCACAATTAGTGGTCCCTCTCTCAAACCCCCGATTCTCCCTTAATGCTGTCAATGCGCGATGGGGGTCACTCTTCGACAGTCTTTATGGTTCCGATGTCATTCCTCAGACGGGGGAACTCCAAGAGTCTTCCAGCTACAACCCAAAACGGGGCCAAGCTGTAATTAAGCGCGCATGCGATTTTCTCGATGCAACATTCCCGATGAGAAAAGGGAGCTACTGTTCAATAAAAGGCGTGAAGTTGCAGCATCAGAGCAACGGGTGCATTCTAGAATTCATTCTGCCGTCTTCAGAAATAACAGAGTTGGAAGACCCAACGCTTTTCGCTGGTTACTCCGGTGACATTCAACCCAATCAAGGTTAGTATGCAACGATTCTGTGACGACGCACAGTTTTCATTTCTTTAGAATCTCGAGCTGGTGGATTTTCTATTCTCCTTCGGCATAACAACCTTCACGTTGAGCTTATTTTCGATCCACTCAATGCCAAAGCCCAGTCTGAACATCCGGCTGCCCTCAAGGACGTCCTTCTGGAGTCCGCGCTGTCGACAATTCAAGATTGCGAGGATTCGGTCACTGCTGTTGATGCTGAGGACAAGATTCTTCTCTACAGAAATTGGCTGGGACTCTGCCTTGGAACGTTGACATGCGAAATGCCAAATAAAAAGATTCGTTCGATGAATCCGGATCGGGAGTTCTCGAGTCCTACTGGGAATTCATTGGTTCTGCCTGGCCGTAGTTTAATGTTGATACGCAACGTGGGACACCACATGTTCACAGATGCTGTCACCCATGCTGTCACCGATCAGCAAATACCAGAAGGATTTCTTGATGCCTTTGTCACATCATTGATCGGATTGTATGATATCAAAGGATTGGGTCAGAAAAAGAATTCGAGGAAAGGCACCATTTATATCGTCAAGCCGAAACAGCATGGACCTGAAGAAGTTGCCTTAACGAATGAACTCCTCGGAATGGTTGAACAAACTTTGGGACTTCCTCGCTATACCATCAAGCTTGGATTGATGGATGAAGAACGAAGGACTTCATTGAATCTGAAAGTAAAGTTGTTTCGCTTTTACGCGCTCGTATTGGCGTTTGTTGTTCTAGGCTTGTATTCGTGAGGCGCATCGTCGTACAATATTCATTAATACGGGATTCCTGGATCGAACCGGTGATGAGATTCACACAAGTTTCGAACTTGGGGCATTCGATCTTAAGGACAACTTGAAATCCGGGGCGTGGATCGAAGCCTATGAGAAGCAAAACGTGCAAATTGGGCTCCAATGCGGGATGTTTGGTCGTGGACAAATTGGAAAAGGCATGTGGGCTGAACCAGACGGAATGAAAGCGATGGTTGATTCTAAAATTAAGCATCCAAAGGGCGGGGCTTCAACAGCGTGGGTCCCTTCGCCCAAAGCAGCAACATTGCATGCACTCCATTACCATCAAGTCCGAGTGCACGAGATACAGAAGGAGTTGTTGAAAGTCTGTGGAGAGAAGAGCGGACAGAACGAGAGCCCCTTCCTTGACGCGTTACTACAGATTCAAGTGGTTGCCGATCGGTCAGCATTTACAGCGCGGGCCATTCAGAAGGAGTTAGACAACAATGTGCAAGGGCTGTTGGGTTATGTCGTGCGTTGGATCGATCAAGGAGTTGGGTGCTCTAAAGTTCCAAATATAGATGGAGTTGGGCTCATGGAAGATCGCGCAACTTTAAGGATCTCGTCACAACATGTTGCGAACTGGTTGAGGCACGGTATTGTTTCTGAAGGCCAAGTGTTCGACACGATGCGTCAGATGGCTGCCGTGGTCGATCACCAGAATAGCAAGGATCCGCAGTATCTGCCAATGGAGCCTCATCCATTCACGAGTTTGGCGTATCAAGCTGCTCTTGATCTTGTCTTTCGAGGAGCAAGACAGCCTAATGGATATACGGAATATATTTTGCATCAAAAAAGGCGAGAGGCAAAAAAACGTTGCAATGGAGATGAGGGGGAGGAAGAAGGGAGCTCGATGCCAGGAGAATCATCCCGTTGGTGTAAAATGTGATTGATTTCGAATCGTTGCTTCCATTTTTATGTTGCTGATAGGTTAAGTGTCTAGTGATGTCAAATATGTACACTACGTTGTCTTTATTGTTGTGTAGTCGTTTTTTGTTTGTCAGAAGAGGTATTTGTTCCAGGTCATTTTCCTTTACACTCAACACCAGCTAGGCGATTACGCAGTTGGAGCAACTTTTCTCTCACAATGTTCATATTGACGTGATTTAGTCCAAGAACATGGGCTCGTCTTAACAGAATTAGTACTGTTGCTCGTGGATTTGATCTCCACGCCAATTCCCTCAAATTTTGTTTTCTTCACGGAATTGCTTGAAATGGATTATTTGTGAGTCATGGGGGTGTAGAAAAACGCCAATCATTCTTGGGGGCCGGAGATCGATGCCAAAAGTGATGAACGCGGGAGCGATGCCCGAGCACTTTGTTTTCGTCAACAATCTCTTTTACGCCCTGAAATCTTGAACCTTAAACTACTGAAGAGTAATCCTGAACAGATACCTCCTCGGGATCTCCCAATGCTCTTGTGTTGCAAACTTGATTTTCTGTCCTCGAATGGTTCTCTTATAAGTCAGCGCCGATCATCAGGGGGGTGACTGCCTTGCAAATTGGGTAATTTAATGAAATTGTCCACAAAAATGTTATGCCACAATTTTTCCGTTTTGATCAAACCGAATGGCGCGGGTCCCGATCTGTGTTTGCATTCTTATGATGCCTTCAATGTTGCTGTGTGAAAGTTTGCATGACGTTTCCAACGTGTGGCATGTACCTCGGAAGTACGAAAGCAAAAAGTAGGCCTCTATAGATGCATCAGCTGTGCGTCTATTGGAGCCAAAGAAATGGCTGCCGTTGAAAAGTTTCCAAAAAAAGAGACCCCGTGACGTCGGCAATTAAATCAGACCAAGGAGAAGAGTCGGTCGAGTTCGATGTTGTGGAGTTGAATTTTCAAACAGCGGAAGCACCTGCTACAGTGCAGATATACTGCCCTCAGAAAATTAATGCATTCAAGCTCTTGGATGAAAGAGGAGAAAGTCCGGAGATACAATTGGCATTGGGACTTTCCCGTCAAGACATCCTTCTTCTTGCTGGACGGCGAATTGAACTCACGCCTGAAGACCTTCTCTCAAGCTTTAATAAGTGGACCAAGTTAAAATGTGAAAAGGCCAAATCACTAGTACGAAAGCAGGTCACGAAATTCTCGTTCATTCCAGAACAGAAGATCAAGATCGCAAACACAAAGGTTCCGACTCGTGAAACCTCAAGAAAGGACTTCTACCGTTAATGACTTCCGAAGATATGTTGATATCATGAATACCGTAGTGGGTTTTGAAAATCTTAAAGGGCAGAAACCCATTTTTCTGCTTGAACCTCTCGTTCCAGTGATCCATGTATTTCTTTTTCTACATCTGCATTTCATGCTGCTCTCAACTCTTCCAAAGTAAAGGTTGCGAAAACACGGTGGTATGAAGAAGATGAAGAAGGAATGTTGGCTCTTGTCCACGATGAAGTGAGAGGGACTTTTTTTTTAACCAGAACAAACAACAATGGCTTCAGATTCCGAATCACTGACTCTCTCGCATATTCGCCTTCCTTTCAGGTATTCTTCAGTTTAGACGGTTGAGCAAATTTTGGGCTCTGAATTGAAAGTTGGGCAATGAAGTTAAGCCGTCGCGAGATTTCAACAATCTCTTTTCACCCGAATGACAACTTATTAATGTTCGTTTCATTGAAGGTGGGAAGTGAAGTATAAGGCCTAGTGTGTGGGATCCTCGCCATGTTCTGTATCTTTGGAGGGAATTCAAGCCGGTGTGTCCATCTTTACTACTCCCGCTTTCAGTTTCTCTTAAACTGAACTTGTTTGCGATGTCGTTGCTGTTTATTGTCACTCCTACCTGGCTAAGATAAGTCACAGGCACGCAGCCTTCCTGGAATTATAAAAAGCCTGCTCACATGGACGTCAGAGAATCTAAACTGATGGCCGAATCCTCAACGACTGGTTCAAAGAAGAACAGAAAGCGTGTGCGAGATGCACTTTGGGGCAAACCGTCAGAAACTCAGCAGGAGGAGGATTCAATTCGGCGAGTTAAGAGAAGCAAGAACAGCCGCAATGAGGATTCTCGGCCTCAAAAATGGGAAAATAGAAAAAATGAAGAGCCAGAATCTGTATCAGAGCAAAGAAGGGTAAACGTTTCGAAAGACTTTGTTTTGCCGTCGCAACAAAAAGCAGTTAAACCATGGAGAAAAAAGAAAAGAAAAGAAGCGAAATTGAGGCGGGCTGAGTTGAAATCTCAGTTAGAGGGGAAGAAGTTTCAAAGTGACTCCAACGAATTGTTCATCCAAAGTTATCAACCGCACCAACAGAATGACGATCGTTGCAGTGCTGACCAAAAAGAGGAAGCTTATATCCTTATCGATTTATCTGATGGATCCGACGATTGCTCCAAGAAGCGGAATCAAAAAAAGAAAAAAAAACGTGATGGCGAGGAGAGAGAACTTGTAGTTGAAGAACCGAAAAGAAGAAAAAAGAAAAGGAAACGCCAAACGTCTGTAGCGGTGACGAATGAAGGCTGCGAATTGGGCGATTGGGACACGTTGAACGATGATCAACAAATCGAGAAGAAGCGTGAAGATGAAAAGAATTTTAAGCGACGAAACAAAAAAAAGCGAAAGAAAAAATCACGTGAAATCCATCCTGATGAAAAAAATCGTAACCTTCAAGTCCCAAAAGAACTCTTCGCTGCTCAGGAACAATCGAATATCTTGAATCTTTCGATTCCTTCGTTCTTGGAATCTCGAGAGACTTTGGGACGATTGGTGAGGAAAGAGACAGAAGGTCAGAGAGAACCTCTTTTCCATGCGGGGAAGGGAAAAGCAAGAAGACGTGATTTGGCTGAAGCGCCAGAAGGGCCACGAAAGTGCAGATCCGGAGGGCCGTCTCCAACAACAACGTTCCGTGGAATAACGGACGAAGGATTCGCGATGCGCCAGAAAACACACCGCCCGATTCATTTGAGCCTATCGTCTCTATTGTGGACTTCAGATGTGGAAGACATTCGACATCAAACGAATCCGAGTTCAATGAAAGAGAAGAAAAAACGAAGAAAAAGAAGGAAAAGAGAAGACGCTCGCTTCGAAGGTTCGTTCAATTTTAAAAGTGAATATCGAGACCTTCGTTTGGCCTCAGAAGAAATGTATCAAAAACAAAAGTCCGAAGACGCTCAAAAGTCCGAAGACGCTCAAAAGTCCCAAGACCTCCGAAAGTCACAAGACCTCCGACAGTCCCAAGACCTCCGACAGTCCCAAGACCTCCGACAGTCGCAAGACCTCCGACAGTCGCAAGACCTCCGACAGTCGCAAGACCTCCGACAGTCCCAAGACCTTCGACAGTCCCAAGATCTCCGACAGTCCCAAGATCTCCGAAAGTCCCAAGATCTCCGAAAGTCCCAAGATCTCCGAAAGTCCCAAGATCTCCGAAAGTCCCAAGATCTCCGAGAGTCGCAAGACCTCCGAGAGTCCCAAGATGTTCAAAAGTCGGAAGACGCTCAAAAGTTACAAGTTCCAGCTGATGGTGTGAATGACGAACAAGAAGCAAGGAAACAGAAAAGTACCTCTAAGGGTGAAACGACAGAAACAACCCAACAGCGTGACACCATTCAGCGAGTTGATTCGGATCATCATCCAATCATAGAAGAGAAAAACGGAAAAGAAGCGTTAAATAGTTTATTTGATCAAGCATTGAATAGTTTATCAAGAATAGCAAATTCGCCAAAAAACCTTCAAGAAGGATCTATCCGTAGTGTTCTTGATTCTCGAGAGCGTGGAGTGTCAGAGTCGACGATGTCAATCAGTGAAGAAGATGAGACGACACCTCCGGACGACGCATCTCCAAAAGAAGTTTCTTCAGCCGCTGCTACATCCTTGGAACCCATTCAATTGATTCCGACAAGTTCATCCAATCGCGATTCGGTTCCGTCAAAATCTCGTACTCTCAGGACGAAGTTCTCTAATGCACCCGTTCCAAATTTGAGTGGTCCCACGTATCCGTCGCGTCCCCCTCATTTTCCTTTATTCCCCCCCATTCAATTTCAGCTTCCTCTCCTTTCGCATCCCCAGCGTCCCTTTTTTCCTCTTCCGTTCCACGCTGGCCCTTTCAGACATCCAAGTCCGTCAGCAGCGACCGTCCCTTGGCCTCCTCCACCTGCTCCGCCGTATCCACCATCACAACCGCCGGATCAAACAATCTTTCAAGAAGCCGAAGATCAAAGTAGAGTTGTTTCCAGAGACGCAATACCACCAATCTCCCAGGAAGTTGACAAAGACGCAGTACCAACCATCTCCCAGGATGTCCAGAAGCAAACCAATGGGGACGCAACAATGTCCCAGGGAGGCGATGAAGACGCTAGACCAACAAACTTCCAGGAAGTCGACAACGACGCAAGACCAGCCACCCACCAGGATGTCCAGAATCAAACCACTAGGGACGCAACAATGTCCCAGGGAGTCGATCAAGACGCTAGACCATCAATCTCCCAGGAAGTTGACAAAGACGCAATACCAACCATCTCCGAGGATGTCCAGAATCAAACCAATGGGGACGCAACAATGTCCCAGGAAGTCGACGAAGGCGCTGGACCAACAAACTTCCAGGAAGTCGACAACGACGCAAGACCAGCCACCCACCAGGATGTCCAGAATCAAACCACTAGGGACGCAACAATGTCCCAGGGAGTCGACGAAGACGCTAGACCACCAGTCTCCCAGGAAGTTGACAAAGACGCAATACCAACCATCTCCCAGGATGTCCAGAATCAAACCAATGGGGACGCAACAATGTCCCAGGGAGTCGATGACGACGCTAGACCATCAATCTCCCAGGAAGTTGACAAAGACGCAATACCAACCATCTCCCAGGATGTCCAGAAGCAAACCAACGGGCACGCAACAATGTCCCAGGGAGTCGATGAAGACGCTAGACCAACAAACTTCCACGAACCA